TCCTCAGGGTGCCGTCAGCCAGACAGTGCCGGCTGGCGACCCCCAGGGGGAGGGCCTTCTCGGTGGGAGCCCCCACCTTCTGGAACGAACTACCCCCAGAGATCCGGGTGATCCCGGATCTCCCCTCCTTCCGCCGCGCCCTAAAGACATGGCTTTTCCAACAAGCGGGATTGGCCTAGGGAATTTTAGTGGGGTTTTTTAAGGGTAATTTTAACGACTAGGCCTTTACAAATATTTTCTTTTAATCTGGTTTTAATATTGATATTTGTTGTAATGTTGTTTTATAAGGCTGTCAGCCGCCCTGAGTCCGGTGAGGAGAAGGGCGGGATATAAATCAAATAAATAAATAAATAAATAAATTAATAAATTAATAAATTCCTCTTGTACATATATAAAATAAGAAGCAAAAATACGAAACCTGAATAACACATCAAAAGTTTAAAGTATCCAGGTAGATGCATATATTTCATGTTCAATCTGTAGTTTCTCTACTCCTAACCTGTCAGGATCTCAAATTTCAGCACTAGGATCGAGTCAGTAATGGAGAAATTGAAGATCTGGCGCTAGTCACATTAGATGGTGCTATGCTAGAGCAGTGGTTCTCAACCTGTGGGTCGGGACCCCATTTGGGGTCGATCGACCATTTCACGGGGGTCGCCAAGCAAGGCTGTCCGCCATTTTTTTTGTCCACCATTTTTTTGTCCGCCATTTTTTCCCCTTTTCTGGTGGGTGCCTTACCTCCCTTGAGTTGGGCCAGCTGGTGGTCGGCCTGCTCCGTCTCTGCCGTTTGCCAGCTACGCCTCGGCCAGCGCAGGGGGCGGAACCACGCATGCATGGCGCTCCCGGGCAGGGAAAGTCCTCGACTTACGACTGGTTGGGTAGTCCTCAACTTACGACCGGTTTAGTCCTCGACTTACGACCGGTTTAGTCCTCGACTTACGACCGGTTGGGGTCGCAGCATTAAAAAGGTTGAGAACCACTGTGCTAGAGGGTCCAATAGCCTTACTCAATATTATACAAAAAATCAACAACCCCTCATGGTCCAACTGTAAGCTTATATTTAGGAATCTGCTAATTTCTTTTATGTTTTCAAAAATGGGTTACGCTGCACCATATATTTATTGGCTCTATAATGTAGTGCTAACCAGAATATAGTAATTATAGCAAAGACAATAATTTCAGTTCTTTTCAAAATATATATCCTGCTTTTCTTCAGTCTGGCTAGATGAAATACACAAGCATAATGTACTAATATTGACAACAATACCAAAGTTATATTGTCTATAGCCCATAAAAATGAAACTATACCTGTTCCAGTAGCTCCAAAACTGGTCATTTAAGTATGCTTTATGGCTGCATTCGTCACCAAAAGAGGCTTTGCTTTCAATCCAATGAATGATATGACCTTCTACAGCTAAAAAGAAAAAAAATACGCATGGCAATTTGAGATTTTTAAACAATTCTTAGAATCACAGAAAATTAAGATAAAAATAAAATTGCTCAGATAAAATTGTTCATTAAAACTTACTGAAATGGACAGCCTAGATTAGGCACGTCCAACCTGTGGCCCATGGGCCACAGGTAACCCTGGCCAGCTAATAATGCTGTCCCACAAGATCATAAACTTTAACATTAAATTGCATTTGTGGTCCAAAACAATTCCTCTTCACTCAATGCAGTCTAGGCAAGCCAAAAGATTGAACACCCATGGTCTAGCTCTTTAACACAGACATACATCTATGTTAAGCATATTTAACCTAGACTTCCGGTGGGACGGCGCGCCGATGGCGGCTCTTTTCGGAGCCGTCCGCTTGGGAAGGCGTCAGAGCCAGCATGAACAGCGGTCAGCAGCTGTTCAGCGGCTTGGAACCTTGTGCCCCGGGAGAAGGGGTCGAGGTGAGTATTCCTGGATAGGAGTAGAGTCCCAAAAGCTCTCCCTTTTTCTCGGGAGAGCGAAA